GCATGGATCCATTCTGGAAGACATGCTGTTCATCACACACCACACAGTATTCATTCAATGTTGGAATCCTCTGCTCTGCATACTTCATGATCTGAGGAAAGAACAGAGTCTATTAATCTTTTCCAAGCATAGGAAGATAAGGGAAATTATCCAATGAGCATCTTTTCCATCTACTTTCCTTGTCCTAGGGCAGGATTTATTCTTGGACCTTGCAATTAAACTGATGGCCTGACTGTAAAACTAAAACTTTAATAGTGTAATTAAAAAAAATAGGTCATTCCCTTAGATTTAGATATCTGGGTCTGAGTCCTACCTCTCCTATTTACCATCTTATACCAATTTAGCCAAGTAAGTTACCCTTGAGTCTTGGTTTCTTTATTTATAAATTGGAGTATTAGTAACCTTATAGGAGTGTTGAGAAGAATGAGATAATTTAATGAACTATTTTATAACATTAACAAATATTAATCAAACTATTAAGAGTAGCTGTAGTAATTGTATACTGTCCCTTTTGGAATAGCTATTGGATCTACAATCAACATCCACGGTAACAGCAGTAAAGAAATCCAAAGACATGTTACATTGGGAAAATCTGCTGCTAAAAAGCAAGGGCAACACTTTAAAGATTTAAAGACAATGATCTAAGACATGGTCTTTTCTTTTTTTTTAGACATGGTCTTTTCAATTACTGCCTATGCATCTGAAAGTTGGACAACAAATAAAATGAGAGAATTGATCCCTTTGAGTTATGATGTCAGAGAAGAGTACTGAAAAATCTCATGGACTACCAAAAGAACAAACAAATCTGTCTTAGAGGAAGGGCAAGTAGGATGATCCTTAGAGACAAGGATGAGATGGTGAAAGTTCATCTCACACACCTTAGCATGCTGTCAGAATGGGCCAGTCCCTAGAAAAGGACATCATGCTGAGAAAGGTGGAGGGTCAGAGAAAGGAAAACCCCTAAAATACTGACTCTAATAATGGGCTTGAGCATGGCAGGGACTGTGAGGATAGTAAAGGATAAGGCAAGGTTCAGATCTGTTGTTTAGGATTTCTATGGGTAACGGTCTATCGAATGGCAGTTAACAACAACTGGTTAATACCACAGACATAACTTCCCAGGGATGATAGCACAAACCACAGTTTATCCAACAATATGCTGAAGTATTCTTATACACATTCTGTCTTAATAGAACTTTTCCAATCAGGTGCATTTTGACAGGAATAAGGATGTTTCCATTTCACATACTTCTGGGTTGATAATAAGAGATAAAACTATTTTTTCATTTAATAGGGGTTTACTGAATACCTACTATCTGCCCAGCTATGTGAAAGTGTCCTGATGATATAATGATATATACAAGATAGCCTTTGTCTCTTAAGATCTAAATCAATAGATGTGGTATGTATAAAACTTAATTACAGTTCATAGAAAACCAAAAGGTAATTACTTTAAAATAAAGAAGAGAACATAAAGGGGCAGGGAAACTAGGTTAATTGAAATGAAACAACAAGAATGGAAATAATAAAAATATTCACACTGTGAAGAATGTAACCAATTCTCCTGAATGACTAGTGTAGAAATATTGAATGAGAAGGTAAACTGCTGTGTAAACCTTTACGAGAAACACAGAAAAACATTATCTTTTTAAAATTACATACAATTTAATGTAGCATATGGTATTGATGCATAGATGCCACATAAAAAAAATAGGATAGAGAACATTTCACGCTAATACAGTTAGGGTACTGAAACTGGGCTGTTATAATCAGATACAGGGAAGGCGAAAGGTGGAGCCAGTGGCAAAAACAAAGGTAAAAGGGATGCAAAACAAAATCATGTGCATACAGCAGAGCAATTAAAACAAGATGCAAAAGACCAGCAGTGGCAGAAGTCTGCAAGGAGACCACCTGAGCAGAGATTTTCAGTATTATCAAGATATTAACAGTGATCCTTCTCAACTCAGTATGTACGTATTTACATTTTATAGGGCATCACTTGGCACTTAATTATAAGTGGTCAATGAGAACTGTTTCCCCAATAATCCCTTTAGTTTCTCTGAATTAGTTATGAATTCCATACAGACATTGCTATAAATTTCCTATGGATGGGAATGGTGAATTGCATCTCTTGTATCCATTCAATACTTAGCATAGTTTTGGGAGCAAAGCAACTCAGGAAACATTTTAAATTAAGGAGCTAGAAGACCAACGTCAAGGAATTGTATGGACTAGACAACAGGACAGAAGATGCTTTCGAATTACCTGAACAAGGAATCCATACTCCAGAGTGGGAATGTTCTTGCAGTGACCACTGACCTGATGAGAGTAAAAAAACCTTCATGAGCCTCTCATGAAGCAAGTGTTTAGAGTCCTTACTTACACCCATCACCTAAGATTCTCCAAAAGTATTTAAGTCCTAGCTTAAATAAGGCTAAATAATACCAAATGTCTAAGAGAAGACTTTCAGATATTCTGTCCAAAGGACAGAGATATCAAAAGCTCTTGATCCTCTTCTGAGGAAGGTGGGACAGGCTAGTGCATCATGTGACTGCCAGCCCTATCATTAGCTAACAGCTTAATGAAATCAAACATGGTATCTCACTGAGATAACAATCCTCAGAATCTGCTTCATGGTCACTAATATAAAAATTGATGAGTTTGGATTTCAGTTTTAGCTATCAGCAATACATTCAATTCTACTATCTATTCATGGTAAATGCCCAGATTTGATTGACAACCATACTTCCATCCTATTTTAAGTAGCTATGCTCCCTTTCTACTCCCACCTGCCCAAGTCAAACCCTCCTCAGCCCATGTACCAAAGGAGAGGTCCGTGCTGGGGGAGGGAGGCCCACGTGCTGAGGGCACAGGAGACCTGCCTGGGGGCTGGGAGGATAGCCAAACACCTCCACTTTGGGGTTCTTCATGGTGCAGGAGATTGAACGGTTCATGAGGCGCCCAACCCGAAGCTCTGGTACACCCAGTTTGCCTTTCAGCATAGAGTCCTGTATGATAGGAAAACTGGGAGACCTGGAGAAGAGAGAGCAAAGGGCAGTGATAAAACTAGGGATTCAGCATGAGGCCTACTAGAGAACTAAAGCTAAGACATACCTAAGCCAGAATGGGTGAAGTATAACATAAGCCAAAGAAAAACTTAAATCTGAGGATTGTTACATGGGATCTTAAACGTGTCAAGGAATGGAGACCACACATCTAACTTGATGTTTACATGTCTGCTCATTAGAATAGTCCAAAAAAATCAGGTAGAGGCAATGCTTATGCCATTTTCTAATGTACCTAGGCAAAGTATATAAAACTTTTCTGGAGAGCATGCCTATTTAATTTATTCTGTTTGTGTCTATTGGGAACTAAACATTGCACTAAGCAAAATTTATCACAGTCCATCTGACTGACTTTAATAGTGTCTGTGAAGCTGAAAATAAATGACCTCCAAAAGTAATCTTGTCTGTACAAACAATATATATCTGCTACATGGATTTGTATCAGTCTTTGGGAAGAAGAGGTATAAAGTTGTGGTTGTTGATCGCCTTTGAGTCAAACACGACTCATAGCAACCCTATGAACCAAAGGCCTGAAGCCCCTCTATATCTATTGACATTTATCAAAGTTCATAGAGCTTTTGGAGGCATGTCGTTTAGGAAGTGGATGCCACTCCTGCTTCCAAGCAAGGGGTATAAAGAGGACCTGACAATTATGTAAACCTGGGTTTAAATAACAGCATAGTATGTTGTTGTTGTTATGTGCTGTAAAGTCGCTTGTGACTCATAGAAACTCTATGTACAACAGCCCTAAACTCTACTCTGTCCTGTACCAATCACACTGTCTCTGAAAAACCCGTCCCAATTACCCCAGTCACTGAATCAATCCATCTCATACAGGGCTTTTCTCTGCTGCGCTGTCCCTCCACCCTCCTAAGCTTGATGTCCCTCTCCAAGGACTGGTCACTCCTTACAACATGTCCAAAGTATGTTAGACAGAGCCTCAGAATCCTTGCCTCCAAGGAGCAGCCTGGTTTAACCCTCTCCTGGATGAATCTGTTTATTTTCTTAGCAGTCCATGGTACACTCAATACTATTCTCCAGCACCACAGCTCAAAGGCATCAATTCTCCTTCTATCCTCCTTAGTTACTGTCCAACTCTCTGATGCATAACAAGTGACTGCAAAGACCATGGCCTGTATTAGACACACCCTAGTCTCCAGAGAGACACCACTGCTCTTCAGAACTTTGGAGAGGTCCCTAACAGCGGACTTTCCCATCGCAATACGTCTTTTAATTTCCTGGCTGCTGGTGCCAACAGTGTTGACTGTGGATCCAAGCAAATTAAAGCTGTGAACAATCTCAATCTCTTCACTATCCATCCTGATGCTGCCAATTGGCCCAGTGATGAGAATCTTTGTCTTCTTGACATTGAGCCTCAATCCATACTGAAGGCTGCAGTCCTTGACTCTCTGCAGCAAGCGCTTCAGGTCCTCCTCACTTTCAGCAAGCAGGGTTGTGTCATCTGTATAACGCAGATGGTTGATAGATCTTCCACCAATCCTGACCCGACATTTCTCCTCACAGAGCCCAGCCTCCCGGATAATCTGTTCTACATACAGGTTGAAAAGGTATAGAGACAAGACACATCCCTGGCATATACCCTTCCCATTTTTGAGTCATGCAGCGTTTCCCTGCTCTGTTCTGATGACTGCCTCTTGGTCCAAGTATAGGTTTCACATTAGCACGATCAAGTGTTCTGGGATTCCCATTCTTTTCTGAGTCAGCCACAGTTTGCTATGGTCCACACAGTCAAACGCCTTTGCAGTCAATGAAACAGAGATATATTCCTCTGGTATTCCCTGCTTTCAGCTAAGATCCATCTAACATCAGCTACAGTATCCCTAGTACCATGACCCCTTCTAAACCCAGCCTGGACTTCAGGCAGTTCTCTGCTGATGTAGTGGAAAAATATCTGAGAACCTAAAAAATAAATCAATATACCCTTGTGTAAGAATGAGGAATTAAGGGGAGCTCTGGAGTCGCAGGCGACTCGACGGCACATAACAACAACAACAAAACTGGTGGCCTAGTGGCAAGAAGCTGCAACTACTATCCCAGAGGTGCACGGTTCGAATCCACCAGATGCTCTGCCGGGGAAGGAGGGGCAATCTCCTCCTGTACCAGTCAGATCTGATTTGACGGTACACTCACACACAAAAATAATAAAAAATTAAAAAAAAAAAAAAAGAACGAGGAATTAATGACTGTTCCTCATTCTGACTTCTCAGGTTGAAGAGTAAGGATGGGAGGCAAAAAAAAAGGAAAGAAGGGAGGTCAGGATACATTTCTCTATCCACACACATCTGTGCTGGTTATTGCATTTTACAGTATGAATACTGGACAAAGAATAAAATGTTATGAGCACATAGACAACAGGGTCAAGTGGATAGATTTAGTAGTTAAAGACACTATTCAGAAAATTCAAGAGAACAGAAAGATGAATTTATGAACTCAAGAAGATGGAGTGAAATAGAGACAAGAATAAGGTAATGGGAGATTATCAGCACCTGGGGAAGCACTTACTTGGGGATGGGTGAGAAGATGCTGAGGCCGGCTCGGAACTTCTTGATAGTACCACTTGCCTTGAACCAACTGTGCCTCTTCTCCTGCTGAGTCTTCAAGAAATCGTTGCTGAGATGTTTCCATTGTTGGGATGTGAACATACCCAGGATCCTGAGGGATCATGGAGAACAGTCTTAGGAAAACTCAGCAAAGTATTTCAAAATAAAGACAAAAAGAAGCAACTAATCTAAAATTCAGATCTAGAAACTGCAAAAGGAGTTGTGGTAGAGAATTATTTATTTGAAGACTTTCTTGATAGGACCGTAGTAAATAGAAATGTACTGTATCTACTTTCAATGTACTCCTTTTATTTCTAGAAGGAGACATTAAGGTGAACCTTCAAAAGCTGGGAACCTTAGAATTTGTTACTAAGAAATGACCAGGGAGAGAGAGGCAAGAGCAGTGGGATGTAGGTAACTACCACTTCTGCCTGTGAATAGTGAAGAAAAAGTACATGAAGGTACTGTACTAGTCCCTTCATGAAGGGAAAAATTATACCACCAAAGTTATATGCCTGCCAACATTAAATGCAGTCTAAGCTGAAACTGTCAATCTTTTTGTAAGTCCTCAATCAATCATTTTTAATATTATTCTAGGTTATAGTAAACTCTTCATTTTGAATTCCTAAATTCACCTACAATCAAATGTCTTACATCTTCATAGGAAAAACTGAGGGAATAAAAAATGAGTTCCCTTAACATCCCCTTCACAAAAATTACCTCCATTTTCATCCTTATTTGATCGCATTCTCTAAAAACAAACTGACTATCCTATTTAAGATCAATTCCTCTATGTGGTTTTATATCTCAGCCCATTTTTAACTCTACAGAGACCTGGATCTAATAACTATCTCCATTCTTTTCTATTCGTTTCTTTCCTGAAGCCTAGGAAAAATTTCAAGTTCAACTTCTCAGCCTGTACTTACTGTTCTTCCTTCCTCACCTACCATTCATTTCCCAATTTACAGTATTCCAGTTTCTATTTTCACCTCAACATCATCAGCTCACTGACATCCAGTCACATGTGAGGAGATTGTCCATCTTCCTCCCTTGAAGCAGCTAATGGATTTAAATCAGAAGAGCTCCTTATTTGGGTTAGCAATTCAACTACCTCTGACTACACCACAAATCCAGTCTTCACCAGTCCTCTAAAATTACTAAACCCAACCAAAATTCTTAAGTTCTCTTTTTACTTATCCTGACACATGGCCTCTTTGTGGTTAACCCTCCTGACTTCTCATTCATCCCTGACTGACTTTTAGTGTTTCCTCTGCCTCTATTTGTCTTGTTGTTTCTTCTTTGGTATTTACTTTTTCTGGGCTCTCATGGATATTTTGCTTTTGAGCTAATTTTTTTATCATGTGTACCCATAGCAATCTTTTTATTTTGGTGGTTCCAGTGGGATAGGAACCCCCTCTCCCCAGCAATCTCTTATATTCTTTATTGGTTGTAATTAATACTCATACACCGATACATACCCTCAATCATAACTTCTGTGAATATCAAATCAACCATAGAGCATTTCCACTTGCATAACCCAACTTTAACTTTAAACAACACGTCTTAAAAAGAACTCATTTAACCTCACCTTACAATCTCATTTTCTTCTTATATCCCTATTTAAATTATATGTATCACAATTTAGCCAGATATCTAGGTTCTAAATCTAGGCATTAATCTTCCACTATTTATTCCTCAGTTTTTGTCATCATATCCAAAACAATAAAAATCATTCTTCTGATTTTAGGCTGTCCAATCCCTCTTATCACTCTCATTTCCATTCTTACCTATGGTCACTCTTTACTTGAAGACATCATTACCTCATGTCTGGACATCTTCAAATATCTGCTACTAAACTGGTCCTAGGAAGCTCTGGTTGCATAGTCTGTAGGAGGTGTTCTGCTAACCTAAAGGCTATGGTTCTCTGGCATTTCAAATTCACCAATGGCTCCAAGGGAGAAAGACGGATAATCTCTTCCCATGTTATTTACAGCCTCAAAAACCAATGAAGAATGAGCTATGATTCTATTCTGACTCCACAATAAATGAACGAAGCTGGTTTTGGTCTCTCACCTTATCCACTTCAACTTGTTTTGAACAATGATATTAGAAAGGACTTTCTAAACCTGAATCTTACCAGGTCCTTTCTTTGTCTAAAACCTTTCAATGATCCCAACTGGCTATAAAAGTTCAAGGCATTGTCTAATTAGAACCCCCTACCACTTCCCTAGGGAGCTCTGCTGCCAACCCAAAGGCACGTGGTTCGAATCTACCAGCTGCTCCACAGGAGAAAAATAGGTAATCTTGTCCCATGCAATGTACTGCCTCTGAAAATCACTGGAGGGTCATCTCTCCAAGTACATAACCACCACCATGTCTGGCTTTGGTTCCTACCACTTTCCGCTTGGATACGTAGAAATATTTAATTACTTGAAACACCATAAACATTATGGCTACTTTACACGGCTATGCCTATGCAGTGTGATTCATTCTGAATCTGCCTATATAGGCAGTTCCTCTACATCCTTAAAAGCTACTCAACACTCTCTTCCATTCACAGCCCTCCCACCTAGCAGATTGAGTCATTCCTTTGTGTGTTCTAAGCCATCATATTCACTAATATTAGGACACATATACAGTGGACTGTATTTGAAACACCTTTGAGAGTATAATCTGTGCTTCATTTCTCTTTGTATACCAAATAGTAAGCAAAGTCCTTAACATATCCAATAAACTGAAATCACCCGAGTTCCTAGGGTCTCTCCCTGAAGAAAGCTAAGAGGAAAAGTGAACAGTGTGATTAATTCCAGGGTAGTACCTTTTTTCAAGTGCTAAGCAGTGATGAACTTCTCTTTTCATCTCCAGGAAGCCTCCTGCCCAGATATCTAGAGCGTTAGGCTTTCCTGCTACCACCATAAACCTGGCTCCTCAAATTTATTTAAGCTTTCCTTGGGCAACAGAAAGGTATTTCTTTATAAAATCAACATCCATCCAAGGGTCTGCCTGTCCATTCATATTAATCCATTTCCCCTCATATGTCCACGACCATGAAAGATTAAAGTTCTTACTTTTTCAACTGAAGACCTAGCCCAAACCCTTCTTTATTCGATGGCTGGAAAACCTCAATTGATGGTTCTGCAAAGAGAAAAGAAAGTTTCCAGAATGTACATCTCTATTTTCCTGGGAATCTGGAGGTTCAGTTAAATGGAATAGCTTCTTTAGATTCTAAAAAGCAGTAGTAGTTGCAGGACTCTCTGAAAAATAGAGGTGATGAAAGACAACAGCTGAGAAAAAGGGTAGATATTTGGAGCTCACTGGTCAAGTTTAAATATCCTCAGTAGAAAACTGAGAAGAGAAGGGAGGAATAAATAAATGGTATCTTGGACCAGAGAAAACAATGCATTAACCAAGAAGGTCTTAACAGGATGGATAGCGGGTAATAATAGGAGGCAAACACATCAACAGCAGGAGACGGAAATATTCCTACCAATGGGCATATTTCTAGTTTTTTTCTATTTCAATCAGGTAAACATTTTGGATTAGATCACATCTGGAGCATCCAAGTGACCATAATAATTGCCTTTACCTGGTCCATCAAGGTACTGGGAGAGAGAAAATCTCAGCCTTAGCACAATAGGTTCTGTCCGGAGGACCTTCCAGGCTGTAGAGACTTCCTCCTAAAAAGAGTATAAAAATAAGTCATCTGTTCAGCTTCTCCCATCACACACACACGCACGCATGACAGTACACATCACTGTCTATTGATAGTCTAAGAAAGAAAGATGAAGAACATGCTCCAAAGAACAAGGCTCCTGGTCTACATGACAGAATCTACAAGCCTACCTAGATATGCTGTAGGAAGTTACACTTACATCGAGGAAGCTGATGTTGATGTGGAGGTCAATGTCCACGTCATCGATTGTTCCATATTCTCTACAGAGATACGGATGATCGGAGGTGAAAATCATTAAGGGAGAAAAAAGGGAAAGAACTGAGGTGGAGGGAGAACTGAACCTGTGTAGAAGGTAGGGAATGGTGGAAGGCAGCCTTATAGCTAAGTTCTTAGCTGTAGACTTAAACCATACATATAATAGGGTCACCTTCAGACCAAAAGCCTTTTTCAACTCAAAAGTAAAACTACTGGCCTAGAGGAATCTAGGATTAGAGAGGATTTCTGAAAAAAGTGACCATATTTTACACTGGGTATCAGACAAAGTTAACTATTCTGCATGACTCCCACTAACAATTAAGCTTTTAATTTATCTATGTCTACTGACTCTGTGTCATACCATTAAAAAAACCAAATTAAAAGCTCTTTAATAATTTAAGAAGAAGGTGGTTTGCTCCCGTGACATCCTAATTGGAGACCCACCTGATAGATACAGAGTTCTCACTGTAGATCTCCTTTACAGCTTCTATGTCTGCATCAAGCTGTGGGTGTCGATACAGGTCAGCTGCACAGCTTCCCTGAGTCAGTGGCAAACATGTTATTGGTGAGGAGGGGTAGAAAAAGATAAACAGAATAGAACAGGAATGAATGAAAGATATTAATAATGAACATAATAAGATTTCAGGAATAGGAGAATCCAGCAGCTGTTTAGATGAAAAAAATTTAACTACATATAGGGACTCTGGATGATGGTACTAACTGCAGCTTTCATTGGCATACTAGTCTCCCTCCAATTGTGATTCTATGACAGTGCAGGAGACCAACTAGTAGCTTTGTGTGAGAAGTTTACTTCCTTTGGTCTTCAGATTTTCCTCTCTGATCCCGCTGACAACAATCTGCTGTAATTTTTATGAGTGCCATAAAGGTTGAAAAAGCACAGCATTTACCTCACATTGGTTCTGCCTGGAGAGTCCCTAGGATTATGCTCTGGGCAGTTATGGACATTAAGGAATCAGTAGCAAAATAATCTTGTAAGAAGTTGAACCTAATAAATGAAATGACCCACATACACACTCTAGCTAATGAGAAAGGTGCCCTTGTGGTACAGTAGTAAAGCCATCAGCTGCTAACTGTATAGCAGTACCAATTCATCAGCTACTCTTTGAGAGAAAGATATGAGATTCTGCTCCCATAAAGATGTACAGCTTTGGAAACCCTGTGAGGTGGTTCTACTCTATGCTGTAGTGTTGCTATGAGACAGAAGCAGCTCCACAGAAATGGGGATTTCGGGCTGGCAAGTAGAGAGACCAGGAAAATAAATATTTCTCACTAACAACATGAGTAGCCTCCATGGATACAGATCATGGTACATTCTGAGAAAGGTATTAATTCTAAGAAGGAACAATGACACAGGATCAGTTCTGAAAAGATCATACTCAGGTTACACTAACATTATATTCTCAACCCACTTCTGCTTTAGAACAACCTCTTTCACTCCTAAAATATCTAGAGAGAAGCACATATCAGACTATCCAACATGGGTCTTGCAGCTGTAGCCTTACCTGAACTCCATAGAGAAATTCCTCTGATTCATTATCTCCTTCTGAATCATCATCATTCCAGAACTGGCCTTTGATGTCCTAGTGGGGAAAAAGAATACAATCGTAGTCAGGCCCTTGCTATCACAAGACCTGGGACAGGGTGATAAGATGGGAAATAAATTCTCACAAAGAAGGTCCCTTGAGATAATGTAATTGAAGCTCTAATCCTTTCTAGACTTCCTCCCACCCTTAGGTAGTATCTTAGACTCTTTCTTAATCTTCATGGCCTAACTCTGACTTGATGGGATAGAGTGGGAATTTTGGCCTTCTTAAGTTCTAAGTATAAGAACTCTGTGGTGCTGTGGTTAAGGCATTCAGCTCCTACTCAAAGGGTCATCAGCTCAAATCCAATAGCTACTACATAAAGCAAAATGAGGCAGCCTAATTCTGTTATGCTTTATAGTCTTGGAAACTCTGCAGGGCAGTTCTACTCTGTCCTACAGGGTTACTCTAAGTTGGAATTGACTCAATGGCAGTGGGTTCGGTTTTTTGGTAAGTTTCAGTATAGCAGAGATTCGGGTATTCAGTAAAGGAAGGACATAAAAAACTTCCATTTCAATGTTAAGCTCGATCAGAAGCCTGCCTCGGTGCTGTATATAAGCTGGCTCTCCTAGGATCACCCAAGGTAGCTTCAAGCACACCTAAGCTCCAAAGTATTTCATTCTTTGCTTCTTTACCAGAGAAAGCACACATATACCCATCCCAAGTAATACTCTTTTCATGTCCCTTCTCCTTCAATTACAAAGTCTCACTACATTTTTTTCAAGAGTGGAAGGGAAAATACCAGGAAAGCATGAAGTCTACACTTTGTCCCTAACTCCTAGATAACTGGCTGAAGAGGTAAAACTCTCAACCCAGATGGGTAATTAGTGCTCACCATTGGGTCAGTAGATCACTCACACTCCCAGGTCAGTGCTAGGCAGCACCCCTCCATACCACCAGCTGAACCCAAGCCAACGAGATGGGCATTTAAGAGGCCACAAAGGGAGACAAGAAAGCAGGTGATGTTAGGGGCTAAGTGATGATTTGCTGGAGATGGCAGGCTCTACTGCTGCAGTGGTAATCTGTTACTGTCCTGTGGGAAGTAGACAACAGCTGATATCATTACCATTGCTAAGTGGTATACACACAGGCACACATATTTAAAGATACATTTTCATTATACATCTTTCCAGACACATGCATACACATACTTGCAGGTGTGTATGCAAACATTTATATGCATGGTTCTTTATAACACACTAAGAAAATACCATTTATGCTGAGAATTATGACCGGAATACGTCTACAGTCATCTCACTGATGACTGCACAGTCCCAAGTTGCTGCTCAGTTCATAAAGCTACATCAGCCCCTGGAGGCAAAGAGTGGTGGCAGAACCAAATGCTTCTGCTATTCTCTTGTCAGTTCATTTTGAAATATTCTTCACAGTACTACTCCCCACTGGAGTTAAGAACCGGAATCTCAAATTCTTTCTGGACTCATTATGCCTAGTCATTTCCCAAATTGAGTCACGATCTCTTTTTAACCATTGTGGAACCCTTTAGCTGACAAAACATATCTACCTTTGTCAAGTTGGTCCTATCAGGGTTCCAAGGCCATATATTTTATATTTTTGCAGTGAATTCAAACTGCAAACCTTTCAGTTAGCTATGCAGCTCATAACAGAATTCAATTTAACAGGAATGGATCCCAATCTTCTCAAAAGCTCTACACTTAAAAAAAAAAAAAAAGCTCTACACCCCTACTGTAAATTAAAAATCACTGTTCTAGGCCTTCCTTGCTCAATAGATATCTCAGCCTACCCCAGTCCAACCTTAAGCACACACATTCTTGGTAAAAAAGTTCTATTACACATTCGATTCCTGGACCAGTGGTTCTCAGAGTGGGCTTTGTGGACTTATAGCATCAATATTACCTGGGAAATGCAAATTCTCATAATAACCCTAGGTCTACGGAATAAGAAACTCCAAGGGTGGGGCTGGGAAATTTCTGCTTTCAGAGGCCCTTTGAGTTATTCTAATGCATGATAAAGTTTAAAAACCAGTATTCTAAATCCTGTGTGTTCCAGAGGTCTGTAGTCTGTTCCTCAGATACCAACTTACGTCTGGTAACTGATCCAGAATAGGGTACAATGCCAGAGCAAACTCTGCATAACTGCCGTCTAGATAATACTTCCTGACTCATTTAAACAATATCCAAAAGGAACTGAGACTGAAGCTTTTAGGGATGAAATAACATTAGATCTTGGATTTGCTTTAAAATACTACTCCATACCAAAAGGAAAAAAAAAGAAAATAGATGAGGATGAGATATGACAAAATATTGATTCTTGATAAAGCTGAGCATAATTGTGCCTTTGTATATAACTGGAAATTTTCATAAAGTAAGGGGGAAAACAAAATCCAGAGGTTACTCATAGGGCTTCTCCCTAAAAAGTCAAATTTGAATATAAGCAGAACTAACGTCCCTAAAACTGCATGAATGGCTTCTTTGCCCTTCATTAAACATGTCAAGCATATTCCCACCTCGAGGTCTTTACATCTGTTGCTCCTCCTTCCTAGAATGCTCTTCATCCAGATATCCACATGGCTTGCTCCTTCTTTCTGATCTCTGTTCAAAGGTCACCTTGACTATCCTAAATAAAACAACAACCCAACATACACATACTGGCACTCTTCATCCTTTCTCTGTGTTTTTTATTTTTCATAGCACATGTTCTAATACACCATGTATTTATTTATTTATTACCTTTATTATGCATCAAAACATAAGGCTGGAACTTTGTTTTCACTTTATAGTCTCAGGAATTAAAATAGCACCTGGCATATAGTTGTTTCACAATTCATACTTACTAAACAAGTGACTAAACCTTCTGCTGGACACGAGAGAGTCTGCTCAAAGCACACAAGCAGTACATGTGAGAATCTAAATGTTTCTACACACAATGACAAAACCATACACAAAATGATGTTTTATTTAATAAGAGTCAAATTACTCTGGTGGCCTAGTGGCAACGAGCTGCAACTACAATCCCAGAGGCTCACAGTTCGAATCCACCAGATGCTCTGCCGGGGAAGGAGGGACAATCTCCTCCTGTACCAGTCAGATCTGATTTGACGGTACACTCACACACAAAAATAATAAAATAAAAAAATAAAATTGAAAAAAATGAATAAAAAAAAATTACCTTCAAGGACAATCGAGAACTGCAATATGAAGATCTGAGGGCTGGGTTTGAGAAATTTGTAAAGAAACAGTCAGGCGCTGATCTGGATGATCACAGAAGAGTAGAGAGGGAGGCACTAATGTCCAGCCTGGGTCGTCCTGGGCTGAGTGATAAGATGATGGCCGCATACACCAGAAATACCAATTTCCTTAAGATTTTTGTCACTGTTAGAAGTCAAGAAATAGTCTTTCTCCAAGAGCTATGGTTGGTTTCTGCTGTCACAAGGAGAGAAAGGTAGTTCAGGCAGTTTTTCTTGTTTAAGGAAGAGATAACTTCGAGACTATCAGCTTTTTCAAACCAGCTATTTTAGCTGAAAGAGAATTGCTCCTTGTACTCTCAACATCTCCTCTGGAGATGAAGAATGGTTTAAAAGGAAAGTGATGGACCACAGAAGCCACAGAATCCTCTGCGTTTTAAAGATGAAGTAGCACAAAAGATGGCCTAATTTAAAGCCTTTATGCTACAGAAACTCAGGCCCAGAGACCATCAAAATTACTTACGGTGAAGGCCCGAGTATAGCAAAAGTGTGACCTAAGCACATTTGACAAGTGCAAGGCACATAAAACATTCACGTGATGAAGTATAACTAATAACTAATAAAATTATTCATGAACAAAGCAAGAAAACATTTTTTATCTAAATGAGGCAAAAAAGAAAATCTTTCAAGAAAATGCAGAGCCAAATATATACTTGAAGAGAACACAGAGCAAAGATGTTATTCAGCGCAGGGTTTAATTTGGTGGATGGCAGTTCAAAGAACGCTTTATGGATATGTATGCGAAAGGGCTGAAGGTGGGAGCCTGGTGTCCGAGTCCCAAGGGAGCTGTGCCGCCAACTCAAAGGCCCTGCCGCGCTGGAGGTTCGAACCCACCAGCCCCTCCTCACAAAGAGGGGCACTCTCCCCCAGCGTGATCCGGAAACCCAACGGAGAGCCTGCTATGGGCTCCAGGTGAGCTGTGAGTTGGAGCTACACATAAAAACTGTCTCAAGTCTGGATTACAAAGGTGACCTCTAGGTCCTGGGGCATTTCTCGGGTGTGACAACTCTACATCTGGCTAGAGAAGCCCAAGTTCAACGTTTAAAGGCTCGACTGTGATAGTCCTGAGGAAAGAGGTGACTCTTCTGATTAGGGAAGTAGTAGTAAGCATGCCCTCTCAAAAAAGACCAGGCCACTGAACAAAGAGTGTAAGGAAGAAGCCACGGAGGATAGTTTCCGCAGGCTAAAGAGCAAAAGGCAGGGTTGGCTCCGAAAACACTCCGCCACCCGCGCGTCGGGGCAGGACCTCAGGCCTCCCCAGGGACAGCAGCTACAGCGCTTCCTGGGTTTGCTCTGAAAACCCAAAGCAAGTCAACACCCTCCCGCCAGCGGAGAAAGCTCTGTGCCCGATCTCTATCGCCAGACGCCCGGCCCGAGAGAAGCCTGTCAAGCCCAGCAGGGGCCTTTACTGTCACTGTCCGAGCCCCTCACGCCTTCCACCCTGATCGAGGCGGGGCGTCCTTCCCGCGGCCTGACCGCCCGCCCCGCCCCGTCCCGTCCCCG